AGGCAAGGCAAGGCAAGGCAAGGCAAGGCAAGGCAGGGCAGGGCAGGGCAGGGCATGGGACGGAAGCTTGCGTAAATACAGAGGCGCTGTAGAATAGGTTACGTTAATCATGGATTGAATTGGATACCATGCCAGGAATTTTCCGCCAAGGTAATCTACCTAGCCAGGCTTGGGGTGGGCTGGTAGGCACCTTGACTTAGTTCATTTAGGCAATCCGACGCCATCATCAACATTTCCATTTTCTTGCTTTCAACCATTTTTTTCTTCCTCCCATACTCTCTCTTGGTAGTCGATATCTACTATCCTACCCTAACCTCAACCATTCATATTTTCTACCCACCACCTGTACCATAGATTGCGTACCTGGAACCTGGAAACACCAAGCATAAACTAGCCATAACCATCCTCCATCATGGTCGTCGATACCGCCTATTACGACACCCTGGGTGTCCAGCCCACGGCCACCGAGCTGGAGATCAAGAAGGCTTATCGCAAGATGGCTATTGTCCACCACCCAGGTTCGCTCTTGTTCCTCACTTCTACCGCTTTGTAGCATTTCGGAGAACTAAACATCTGTCACATCGCAGATAAGAATCCTAATGATCCTACCGCCCACGAAAAGTTCCAGGCCATCGGTGAGGCCTATCAAGTTCTGTCCGATTCCGATCTACGCGCAGCCTACGATAAGTTTGGAAAGGACTCTGCGAGACCGCAGGAGGGTTTCGCCGATCCAGCTGAATTCTTCAGCTCCATCTTTGGAGGCGAGGCCTTCGTGGACTGGATCGGTGAGATTAGCCTTATGAAGGATCTCACGGCAACCATGGACATCACGATGCAGGAGGAGGAAGAAGCTGCCGCTGCCGAAGCCGCCGCCGCCGCGCAAGCCGAGGAGGATTTCCCTGGAACTGAAGATGCGAAGAAGGAGAGCCTCAAAGAGCAAGAGCAGAAGGCGGAGGAGAAGGCCGCTGCCGCTGCAGAGCACCAAGCAGGCCCACCACCGCCGCCTTATGTTGCCGCTTCTGTCGCCGACGACAAGGAGACCAAGCCCGCTTCACCTGCCGCGCCCGCCGCTGGCCTCTCCGCCGAAACCCCTCAGCGAACCGATGCCACATCACCTGCTCCCTCGTCGAGCTCACGTAGCCGAACCCAGATCCCTCTTCGACCTGCACTGATGGACAAGTCTCACGAGGACCTTCTTGATGCAGAGGCGAACAAGGGTGAATTGACAGAGGAGGAGCTCAAGCACAAGGAGAAGAAGAAGGGTGGCCTGACCAAGGAGCAGCGTGAGCAGTTGGCAGCATACGAAAAGGAGCGTGCCAAGATTCGCCAGGAGCGTGTCGACACACTCTCTCGCAAGCTCCTCGACAGACTTAGCGTGTGGACAGAGACAGACAAGGGTTCTGACGTGACCAAGGCATTCCAGGAAAAGATGCGTCTCGAGGTTGAGAACCTGAAGATGGAGTCTTTCGGAATTGATATCTTGCACGCGATTGGCCAAACCTATGTCTCCAAGGCCTCGAGCTTACTCCGCAGCCAGAAGTTCTTTGGTATTGGTGGTTTCTTCAGCAGACTCCGTGACAAGGGCACACTCGTCAAGGAGACATGGAACACCATCAGCAGCGCTATTGATGCTCAGCAGACCATGGAGGATATGGCTAAGATGGAGGAGAAGGGTGGCGAGGACTGGACTGATGAGAAGCGTGCTGAATACGAGAGACGTGTCACTGGCAAGATTCTCACCGCTGCATGGAGGGGAAGCAAGTTTGAGATCCAGAGCGTTCTGCGCGAGGTCTGCGACAGCATTCTGAACGACAAGAAGGTCCACCTCAACAAGCGACTCGAGCGCGCACAGGCTCTTGTTCTGATTGGTGATGTCTTCATCCGGGTATGTTTCAAGTCCTGTTTTGTCGGAATCACACTAACCTTAACTAGGCTGAGCGATCCCCTGAAGAGGAGGGCGACTATCTCGTCTTCGAGCAGCTCGTCGCTGAGGCCGCAATGAAGAAGGACAAGGAGGAAGACCACAAGAAGAAGAAGGACCGCAAGTCGTTCCACGGCAAGGACAAGGAACCCAAAGACAAGGAGCACGCTACGACACCCTGAGCAGGGACGATGTTTCCTGGAGAGTTGGCAGAGGGCAGAGAAAGACTGCACAGCAAAGTGGAAGAAGACCTGCTTGTTTGAGCACCTGGAAAATGATGGCGGATATCAACTTGATGGACCTGGTTTGGTGGTTTGCATGATGAACTGGTGGCTGTTATAGATCGAGGATGACTGGCATTGATTTAGATATAACTTTCATGACACTATTCCCCCCTTTATGGAAATTTGACGGCGTTTGTCTGGTACCTCTAAATACAGCTCTTCCAGAGTGTGTGCACTTAGATCAAAGAACAGTGGCGAGGTGATCAGGTTGAGTTGAAGATTGGAGTTTCATCTCCTGATATCCTATATCCATTTCCTATTTCTGGTAACTATCTAATTTTCCCTATCGCATCCGTTCTTGGAACTCGAGGTAACCGTGCCGCGGGAAGCTTGAGAAGCAAAGCATTTCCAGGGTCAGGTTCTCTTTTCTGCAATATCCTCCAATGATTCCATCTTGTTGACTCGCCAGGTCGGCGTGGAAACTTCCTCCGGGGTATCTGTTATACATAGTATGTATCCAAAAGCAAACGAAAAGAAAAATCCCAAATCTTGGCGACAAATGAAAACCAAAAATGCCCAAATCTCCGAAGGGCGTATATATGTGTAACGATTGTCCAGGCTGAGTATTTGTGGTGGCGCTCCTTTTGGGAGAGAGAAGATCGTTTGAGAGGTGGAATCGATGGTGCATCGTAGCCGCTGGGAAGCAAAACGCTGTTGAAAGAAACAAAAGGGATGTAAAGATGATCGCTTGCTTGCCCAACGCCTTGTATGCATGCATGTATTTCCATTGACTTCGTAGATCTGATGATATTTTGTTGTGATGCCCTGAGGCTTGCCTGGTGTGTATAGACGAAAAAAAGGAGAACAAAAATTCGGTATGGTGAGTTGTATGTGATACGACGTCCTGGTCGACTTTGAGATGTGTCGAGTAGTGCGAAAATGTGTCATTTCCCGATGACTGAGATTAGCTGCTGTCTGGTTGCAATTCGATGCCACTATCACGATCCTGGGAACCCTTCTCCCAAGGCGGAGGAGCCTCAAGTGCCACGCTTCCAGGATCAGTTTCGAGATCGTCAACGCTAGCCAACGCATCGTCTTCATCTTCGTCTTCATCCCCGATCGCAGGAGCAAGTATCTGACCACCGAATTCAACGTCGGTGACACGGACCTTGTACTCGAGTGCCTTTTGGCCCTCCTTGATAAGAACCTCAGTCCAGTTTAGGCATCGTTTGATACTTTGGTTGATTTTCTGACTATCGACCAGCAACTCACGGTGCTTGGTCAAATCGAGCTGCAGACGATCTTCATCTCGCTTCCGTCGGGACATGGCTTTTTCGATCGCTTTCTCGTCAGTGGGATCCAGAGGGTCAGAAGCCGAGACTGAGTCAGTCATTGATAAATCTGATTCGTCAAGTGAGTCGTGTTCCTCGTCTGACGGAGCTGCCGAGTTGTCCTCTTCGCTAAGATCTGAAAGACTAATTGGTGCATCCGTGAGTGCTGCAGAAGTCACTCGGCTAGAAGCTGCTGAAGCAACAGCAGAGAGACGGCCTGATCTTGAAAGTCGGCGATACCTGCGTATCTCAGCCTGCTGTTTCCGTAGTTGCCTTTCCAGTGTCCGATTAATAGCTTCAAGGGAGGCGTTTGTGATTTCCAGATCTTGCACCTTTCGTTCTCTTCGGGCATTGGCGACCAGTTCGTTCACAGGCTCATGGCTAGACTTGGTAGGGCTCTGCAAGTCGGGCTGGGATCCGTCTTCTTTTTTCGCTTCTCCTTCTTCTTCATCCTCCTCATCGTCGAGATCTTCGGCAACTTGAAGAATCGAAGCCATCGTCAGAGCTGGCTGAGCTGAGCCAGGGCTTGAAGGGGGTGAGCCATATTCAAAAGGCCGTCGAGCCGGTGACATAGGCAATCTAGGTGAGTGAGAGTGGTCAAAATTGGGAACACTACCGGCTCTTGCATGGCCTCTCTGCTTTTTCGGGGCTGCATCGATGCTAACTCGTCTCTTGGAAGAGGTGATAGACGCTGGGGGGGCTAGTGGAGAAGCTATCTGAGGCGGTGACGCTACTTGCGGTCTGTTCCCGAGGCCAGGCACGCCAGTGTTTTTAAGTATAGAAGGTGTAGGTTGAGCAATCTTGATAGGAGAATGTGGCCTCGAGGGTAGTGCGTGATTTGATTGTTCGTTTGATGAACTGCTGGTGCTCGGGCGTTTAGACTGGAGTCTTGTTGTGGATGAATTCGCTGAAGAGGGCTTAAGCTCGAGATCCGCGCCATTGGCATAAAAGAACTTTGAGGATGAAGGTTCGGGTGCGTTACTGAGTGTCGGTGCGAATGGTGCAGAGACAGGAGGACTGGTCGGCTTTTTATATTCAGCATTGGCTTTACTGGCATGGAAGTAGGATGCAGGCTTTTGTGAGCCTAACGAGGGACGGCCGGCTGCTTGTGTTGAAGTCGGAGCATCGCTGGCACGAAAGAATTTGGCGTCCGGGTCTGCTGGAGACTCAGCTCGTGACAGTGATTGCCTTCCTGAGGAGCCCAAAGAGGCCCGAGGATCCCACCCATCTCGATCTAAATTTGGTGTCGAATTGGGCGTCGAACTAGTGCTATTGTGACGGCCTTGTCGACTGCCAGAACGGGGAGTCACAGCATCGTCGCGCCCAGACGTGCCTGAGCTCAATCCTTGAGTTGATCGTCGAACCAAAGGAGGTGCGCCTAATAAAGGACCTTTTGCTGTCGAAGCGATCTTGGGAGTCAGAGGCGTTCGTCCGACTGTTTTTACTGCTGCTGCACTGAGCTGCGGGGGCCTCTGTCTTGTGTCGCTTGGGGCCATTTTTAAGGTAGGAGGAGCGGAGCTCGACGAGGTAGAACGGGTCGAGGGGATTGTAGCGGTTACTGAAAGAACATGTTGTTGTTTTGTGTCGTGAAAGCCAAGGGATGGCGTCGTGCGAGCACTGGAGGATATAGTGGTGCCAGCGGAAGAGAATCGGGGACGAGCCTGAGCCTTAGTCTGGACTTGTGCCCGACCTGGAGTAGGGGTCTTGGATCGGGTCTTTGGGAGAGGTTTAGAAGAGGTGACTAATTTGTTGTTTCCGGCGGAGGAAGCGGAGCGGCGAATATGAGGCTGAGAGACTGAAAGGCCTGGAGATGTAGGACGAGAAGATGACGAGTTGATGGTGTTTAGAGTGCGCATTCTGTCCACGAGTTGGGTTGTCGGGAGAGCCTCTACTTGCTGGCTCAGGCTGAGATGAGTGGTGACGGGACGGAGCGGTGAGCTCTCATTGGCTGTGTGTAGAGGCGGTAACGGGGAAGGTTAAAGGGACTTCAGTGGGCAACGCCCTGTAATGCCAATGCTCCAGCGCGGTGATCACTAAAACGCTAGTGGTTTCTGGCTAATTTGGGGTCCAATCTCAATGTCGAGGTGACCACATCCAAAAGTAAACAAACAGTTTCGATGATGAGAGACAAGAGGCGGTGGGGTCGAGTGTTGGATAGATGAAGTGGCTTGACGATTTGAAGCGGGGGATGACTTTCTTTTCTGCAGGAGACAAGCGACAAGGAGTAGGTATCCAATTGAGTTGTTCACAGCGGGTATAGACGAGATAGCAATCACTGTCCGTTGGGTCACGACATAGGGAGCAAAAAATAAAAAGAAGACCAGGTCGTCACGGATGATATCAGGAGTAATGAGTCAAGGAGAAAAGAGAGGCGAAAGGGAGACAGCCGAGAAAAGAGAAGCACAAAAACACACGAAAATAGACGAAAGGCTAGGGATAATAATTACATACAATACCTACCAGAAACTAGCGGGATGAACGGATCGTGGTCATTCATTCAAGACAAGGCAAGGCAAGGCGAAGGGCATGGCCAGGATGGGACGATCCCTGCTCCAGTCAGTGAGTGTCTTGCTTTTGACCTCTCTCTTCGAAATTGATCATGCTCATGTTTACTTTTCCATGACATATAAATGGACATGTCATGCTATAGACTCGAGTTTCATATGTCTTGTAATTGGGCAATCTGACTGGTTGCTGCCATCACGAAACATACCTCCGTACCTGGCAGGCTAGATCAGATGGGATAAGATGCACAAATGTTTATTTACAAGTGTGTGTCCCGTCAAACTCGCCTATAATTACAAGTGTTGCAATATTTAGAACAGTCAATTCCCCTTTCTCCATTCAACGGATCATCAAATAAACATCCACCGCTTATTATTACATTTTATGCCAACTGAAATCACAGGTCATGGAATGCCCCTTGCTCCTCACTATTCATCTCGACCTGTTCCAAATCCCCTGTCCCCTGCAAAATACACGGGTGCCAGCTTTTCTCCGTCGATCACTGAGCTGTCTACGGAGTACGGAGACTGCTTGTGGCATGACCAACTACTAAGGTAAGGTAGCCAACGTTGACGCCACAAGAAGCAACAGCCGAATGATTTGAGCCGTATTATTACCGTACTGTCTGTTTCATGGCGATTTATTGAGGCATGAAAAGCAGTAAAGTCAAGTATATTCATCAGTGGAAGGTAGAACGAAAATAGAACTCGGTGCACAAGCGAAATAAAGTTATGAGCTCAGAGTAAAGTTATGACAGAAACACTCTAGAATTATTCTAGCCCGCCCCAGTTCAATTATGAATTCGGTAATTATTCACATGAAAATCGAACCTCGAACCAGCCAATCAGGGTTTCCCCGTTGCAAGGCTCAAGGTTAGCTCCGGCCTTTCAGCTCCAACTCTGATTTTCTTTGTCCGCCGCTGACAAAAGCAAGTCCATCAACTATTACCGGAGGCGCATCACAAGGTGGCCCGATGATTCTGCAATAACCATTCCACAACCCACTCCCTCCCTTCTTCTCGCCAATCGACCCCAACTCTCCAAGTCACCTGGGGAAAACTCTCTTTTCCGTTTCTCGTGTTTCACACTTCTGTCTTTATTGTGTCGTCATGGGCGTTATTGGTATCGGCCTCATCGTCGTCTCTGTTGTCTGGGTACTTGTTCGTCCGCCGTCATGGATGCCAGAGCCGCTGCAGATCCTTCTTCGTTGGAGGGGAACTGGTCCTCCTGCTATTGTAGCTAAGGACAAGGCTGAGACTGAAGCTGATGATGCTGATCCTGGACCCCGTATCATGGTGTCGGATCACGAGGTGGAACCGGGCCCTCGACTCCGGGCTCGCCCGGCCGATAACCGTACCACACGAGACGACGAACAGCGTCGAGACCAAGGAAAGGCCACTGCTACTGCGATCGATACCCCAACCTCCTCGTCCAAGATCGACAGGGACGATGCTGCTTCTATGCCGCCGCCTCCTATACCAAAGATTGCGCCCCCACCTCCAACCATCTCCGAACCCGAAGAACAAACAACTCCCAAGGCTGTCGCATCCGATCCTCCCTCTATTTCCGTCCCCAGCTTCAGTCTCGATAATGCTCCTATTGCGCCGAGTTCACACCCCGCCCCGCGTCGGAACCCCACAGCCCCGGGCCCCGCTCTCTCCCCGAACCCAACCTCCATGATGCCTCCGCCTCCAGCTCCGGGCCGTCTACCTCCTCCCAAGTTCTCAGCTGCCCCACCTGCTGGTCGCATGCCATCACTCTCTCAGTTCCCCGCCGTGAACTCACCGCAACGCGCTCGTGGCCCTTTACCAAACCGAGGTCCTGCGTCATCTGGTGGCCTGGCACCTCCACCTACACACTCATCTAAGCCCAGCAAGCCCAATCGCAAGGTCCTCCTCACGCCAGGCCACTCTCCTCTTGACTGGGCTCGCATATCTGGACCGAATGCCGATCTTCGCGGTGTCGAACCCCAAACACCATACCTGCGCGTGACTCCATCCATGTTGAAGCGCATGACAGGTCGCAAGGGCAAAGATGCTTGGATGGCTCTGAACGGCAAAGTATACAATGTTACGCCCTATGCCGACTTTCATCCTGGCGGTGTTCCCGAGTTGCTGCGTGGGGCTGGGCGTGACGGGACCAAGTTGTTTGGTGAGATTCACCCCTGGGTGAACTACGAGACTATGTTATCAGCATGTCTCGTAGGCCTTCTTGTCGAGGAGTCTGAAGGCACAGAGAGTCAGATGGACCAGATGGATTAGACCATGACATTGAAGAGACGACATAGACCATAGACGCAAGACTAACTGGCGCATCCATGTTACATGGAAACGATATTTTACATGTATTAGACTATACTGTTCGCGCCATAGATGTTCTTCTCGAACACTTAGATGTACATTAGCTAGAAAGATACCCCACAGAGACCGGTCTTTACCGTCTCTTTCCAAATCGAAACTTGAGCTCGTCATCGCTGTCACTATCCGCGACTTCCACAGCCCTTCTCGTTGGCCGACTTCGCTTCGGAGGCTGCTGTCCTGCAGCAGGCTCTGCAGCAGCTCGTTTACTCCCCTGACTAGTGTTCTGTGATGCTTGGCTCTTTGATTTAGCCTGCGACTGTGTTTGTGGTGCTGTGGCCTGTGCCCCTCGTGTTCGAGTCGCTGGTACCGAAGATCGTTGCGATACTGAATTACTCTCTTCGTCGCTGCTGTCTGATATGACATTAGCGTATGCCCTTTTCTGGGCACGAGATGAAGCCGATGGTGCTGTGGGCGCAGATGGTTGTGACTGTGTTCCAGGAGCCTGGCTTAAGTTCCCCTTTCTCCGCTCCATTTCCTCATCCTCGAGCCAGTAATCGTCTCCAACGCCGAACTCCTTCGTCTTGACCTGCGTTAAAGGCACAATAGTCTTTGCAGGCTGTCGTCCTGTCGCCTCTCCGCGTTGTCTGAACCTCTTGAAGTTCTTCATCCCATTCCACTTGGGGTCCCATCTTCCGTCACGAATATCTTGTTCTCGAGTACGGGGATTGCTAGGCTGTCGTACTTCAATCTCCTCCACGATGTTGAGTCTGCGAATCTCGGCAAGATCAACATCATCTGGCAGATTTGCCAAATCTTCCTTTTCAGCTCGTGCACGAGCTTCTTCTTGCTCTCTGTTTTGTGCAGCTATTGCTAAAATATCAAACTCTTTCTTGATCTTCTTTGGCTCTGGGACCTTCTCGGTTGTCTCAGTTTCCATCTGCTCAGCCGGCTCCTCCAAATCTTCACCTCGCTCTATCCGTTGACGCTTGAATCTCTCTGCTGCGGTTGTCATACCATCCATGAGACCATCTTGCGGCAAAGGTGAAGCTCGCCTCTTCCTTTGTGAAGACCTGGCATTGCTGGTAGGTAGCGTTTCTAGGGGTGCATCTGGCTCCTGAGACACGAATAGACCTCCTTCCTCTGCTGGCGCTTGCGTCGCATTCTGAGTCGCAGCACGGGTTGCGGGTTGATTTGCAGGCACTGTTGCTGCAGGAATATCGTCCATATCAACGTCATCATCTCCGCCGAAGCCTGCAAAGCGTCTCTTGACAGTTCTCCTTGTCCGCCCACGTCGAGGAGCAAGCTGTGACTCATCGGGTGCCTGAGACATTTCAGCCTGTGTGGCAGGGTGCTGTGTCCCATTGGCCACCTCAGGATCTTGAAGCGTCTGGTGTTGGTGTTGAGTATTATGTGCAGACTCAACCTCGAGAGGACGTCGAAGAATACCCGCATCTTTGATGAGGATTGCTTCCAGAAACTCACTCTGCTCAATAGGACGATGGTCCAGTCTCAGAGATACAGACCTGAAGAAATCAACATACCAGTCAACTGAACCTCCTTTCGAAGGAACGAAGCGTACTACTACTACACCTTTGCCCTCACTGCCGTCGTTAAAGGCACCGAGGCCCTTTTCACCAGCGACACTTTTGACGTATTGAACAAAATCATCGACCGAAGTTTCTTCGGGGACAACATTTCGCAACAACGCTTTGCCCCCACCACTCGTAATAGGTGCTAGCAAGTTATTGTACTGTACAGGGTCATAGAAGATGAAGCTGTAGCCTTCGAATATGTCGCGTCTCCCTGCATCTGGGGCATACGTCGAGTCAGGGTGTTGTACAGGCTCGCCTCCCCTTGGAGGTAAATGCTGCATAGCATCGGGCCAGTTTTTATCGAAATCCTGCTCCAGGGGGCTCAACTCGGTGGTCTCCGCCCCATCCGCTAAATTTCCGGCTTCAGCCACTGCATCGAGAAAAGTTTCCGTCACAATGTGTTTCCCGTTGATCAAGGCTTGAAGCCCTTTGGCAGTATTTCGCTTCTTTGAGACAACATGTGTAGTCGAGTCAACATATTCTGTTACCAGCTTGATATCAAGCTGCTCGAATCTTGCTCGGAGTGTAGTTAGGGGGTCTGTCTGTAGTTCCTTGCTGGTGAAAGAAAACGCAAAGACAACTGGTTCCCACGAGATGCTGTGGACTGTAAGCGACGTAACACCAGATCGGATGACACGGCTCACCTGAATCTGTTTGGGCATTTCCCCATCGTAAACTCGACCTTGTCCCCTTCAATCACCTTCCTCTTGCCTTTTATCTTTTCTCCATTGACGACTGTCCCTATCTTTGTCGCCAAATCTTCGATCGTGAGCGTAGAGCGACTCCTTGGATTGTGCGCCTGGCCTTTGTCGACAGGGCTGACGGTGATGGTCAAGTGCTTGCGCGAGATTGTATTGTGTGATATCGCAAGTTGGCCGGCTACAGCATTTTATGAGCATAAATTCTTTCTCCTTGGGGCTTTTCTCTTACGTTCTGCGGCTGTTCGACCAAACAGATAGGTTTTCCCCGGTCGCAACCATAACTTTCGGCCTAGGGATGATTAGCCAGATCGACAGATGAAAGTCAAAACTCACCATCAAAGGCCTCTGAATTTTCCAGGATCCACATCTCCAGGCGCCAAGTACGACGCGAGGTCGTTTACAATTCCATACAACTATTGGCGAAGCTGCAAGTTATGACGTGAGGTCGAGATCGCGCATCTTGCGGGGCCGTACGGAGTAGACGCGACTCAGTCAGCCTTTCGTGACGCCAGATCACGTGCCTACCTTGATCTCACTTACACGGTATCAATTACGGGATGAACAAAGAGTTGGTGATCATGGGCTTCATTATTCTAAGGAAATGATTGAATGTTAAAAGAGTTAGAAATTGATCTGCTTATACATTAGGTAGTTTGTTTTGGCACTCAAGCCTAAAGTTCGCTGTCCTTCCTCTTGCTCCTCGATTTTGGTCTTGTGTATGATTCAGGGTGCGATCTAGAATATCAGGCAGAATCATGTCAACTTTTCTCTCAGGAGTATCTTCTGCGGCATGTAATAGATGCCCCACAAGGCACTCACTGTGAATCCTCTTCCTATTCTCTTCACACAACAGGCGTCCCCGAAACGGCCCATAACACCGCACTAGATCCCCAACCAAGGCTTCACTTATAAGAAAACAGAAACGTGAGTTATTGTACCTATGGCTTGAAGTGCATACTTGCAGACTTTTACATATTTGCGGACGCTGTCTAACTACTTGAAGATCTAGACCAGAGTTACCGACTATATAAATCCGAGAAGGCCTCGACGTTCACTTGAGAATTACTATGGACGAGCGCAACGATACCGATCACAATGGGAGCGTAAGTCCTGACATATCTCACTGTAGGAATCGATCGTTAATATATGAATGTGAAGCCACCTCGCAAGAGATCCAAGACAGTTCACTTCCCTGGTGAAGACTACAATGCGGACAATGCCCGCTTGCGCAATGCGTAGCCACGCACTGGCGGACTTTAGCCATCGAAGTCGAAGGAGATCGACTACTGTGGTGCGATCCGCAAAGAATGCGCTGGTATGGGGACGGATTTGAATGCTCGTTTCCTTTACGTCGTGCCGGCAAACGGAGCTGTGGTTTTCTTCCAGGGGATGAACCAAGCCGCAGCAAGTCTCGACAAAGACTATATGGCCCAGGCTTGCGAAATGGTAACATTTCAATTCGACTCGAGCCGCACTTTGAGGCTGTTCGCAAAGCTTCTCAAAACGCACTTCGAGAACCATGGTGGCGTTGTGCCCCGGGTCCACGCGAAGATTCTTGTATTCGGGAGTGCTTCTTTTCCCGAAGCACCACTTCTCAACGGATAGGGCACGGAACATCACGCACAGGGATCCTACACAGACGCCCATAATCACGTTAGAGACTGAGTGGCCGCTGTGCTCAACGTTTCGACTGACATGGGAGTTGAGCTTCATCTCTGCCGTCCCTGGAGAGACTTTGGTTCCCTCAGGGGGGGCTACAACTCCCATACGAGACGCTGGGTATGATCTGTCGGTCACTTTGGAAGAGGTCAATTGGCTCCAAGTGCCAGACCAATCCATCAGCTTTCTGAAGGCAATGTCAGCCAGAGCGGTAACCGGGGAGCCACTAGACGACACGAATCTCCAATTCCAGTCCAGTCTGACCGAAGATATTGCTAGAGCTCTTGTCGATCATGGCAATCGATTCATCCGTTATTGGTCATTATAATAATCTTTCAGCCCGTACGGGCATTGTCCGCCTTTGCTGCCTGCCCACCTTACGCGCAATACTTTACAGTATAGTCCTTGGCTCGACGGGCGAGGGAAACTTTTTGAGGATACGGGCTGTGCGGACAGTGACCGCTCTTACAAAGCAGCTCGCCCATACAAGCAAGACGGTGGAATTTCAGTGTTGTTATGGGATATCTTGAGAGCATCAAGCTATAAGTTTGCTACATGATGAATTCAAATAGCTCATTAATTATGAATTGCTAGTATTTGCCCAATTACTCCTCACACAGCATTCTTCCTACTCTGACCATAGGAACAACATAAGTCAACAGCATCCAGACGCTCAAACAGGTCAGCACTACAGATACCAAGACTGTGTAATTGTGTGTCTTATGTTATCTGTTCGTAAATTACATAAGTAAATAAGTTAGGCTAGCTTTCTTAAACTGTACTCAGGGAATGGCTTAAATGCTCGTATTACATCGTGCCCATAAAAAGGTGAGATTCAGGACCAAAGTCAAACATACAGCGATCATAATAGTAACGATTCTTCTGCAAGTAAAAGTAAACACAATATATCATTCTCATGAGAGCCATTATTGCCAAATTGTTCATCCGTCTGCCTATCATCTTAACCATCCCTCGTCTTAGAACTTCTAAGCACATCAAATCGTAACTTGGTCAGGTTTAGCAGCTTTGCTTCCGGTGCTTATTCAAGTCAATACTAAATACTCCCTATAGTTGTTATACGTACTAATGCGTGGTAACGGTGCAAGTGTTGCATCGGACATGGTGGCAGTTCGTGCAAACGGTATGTACTGCCCAATCCCAGGTCTGAAGGCAGCGACACTAATAACGAGGCGTTACATTCAACCATGGCAACCTTGGATAGAGTTAGATTGTGACTTACACATTTCCAGTAATAAGTGACTGGTTCGGGAGTCATATTGGGCTACCTAAACATACAATCAGTATAAGTCTACTGTAAGAAAATGGTTTTGGTTACCTACATGTGATTTGAGTATATTGTAAATATCGGTAGTTGACTTACACCCATTTCCGAGCTCCAAAACGGGCTCGAAGCTCGAGCTTTATTCCGATGCGGCTCTGCGGTCGACTGACACTCAAGGCTCGGGGTTACCGCGAAGGATGCAACCCAACGCTGGCCAGGGTACCAATGAGAAGTCCCATTTGCCCAGAAGCGTGATAAGTTCACTTTTAACCGGGTTGTTCATGATTAGTGCTATCTTGACGTCAGTGAATGGTTGGGGGCGAAACTTGGATGGTGTTGATGATGATAGGCGAAAGCAAGGGAACCTAGAATGCCAATAGAATGAAGGCCTCGTGCTACACTGCTTGGGAACATATGACTCAAGTAGAGTTTCGGGATTAACAGTTATTTGTGAATAATGTATATCCGGGCTCCAGTGTGTCTTTAATGAGTTACATCGGGCGACTCTGGCAAGGGCTGCTGAAGACACGAGACGCGAGACGGACGCTTTGAGGGCATGCAGCAGTGCCACATGGTAGGTTAGGTTGACTATAGACTCCTTATAGTTACCTTCAGATCCTCCATTATTGGTACTAGCAAGTGGACTTGTGAGGCTCAAGTCAACCAAGCCCACCCACCCTACTATCGTATGTTACCGATAAACAGTCAAAGTATAACTAGATCTCTGGGCCTGTGATGGCCGGCCAACTTAAGCAGGAGGTTTTCGAGGATTTCAACTGATCAAGTATTTGTCAATCGGTTTCTCTTATTGTTATTATTTACTCGTAGGCTTGAGCCGTTTGATGCGGTAACAAATGCTAACATTTAACAGTATTTGATCATAAATTGAACGCCAACGTTATCCTAAGCGCCGTATATACTTTGCAAATAGGGACAAAAAATAAAGATCTTCAGTATAGCCCAGACACAAGTCTCTAAACCTTGCTGGGTTTATAGCATTCAGCTATCATCTTCTTCCGGCCAACTCTCCTGCTCTTGATACTAATAGCGTCGCTCGCTTGAGATCTAACGCGATGTATTTCCTCGGGATCGTGATTCGTAGCACGAGCGATCTCACGGAGTTCGCCAATCTTCCAGCCGCGCAGGAAGAAGAGGCACAGTCCTCCAGCGATATACATTATGCCAACAAAGATTTGGGCGCCGATGTACTTTCCGGTGCCGGCGACAATCTGTAAAGCAATGGGTGTGCTGAACGTGCAAGGCAAGCTGATGATGATCCAAGTCAAGTTGAGGGCAGCAGGAACATCAGCAAGACCGACGACCTCGGCTGTGACTGGAGCCACTGTTGCCCAGTAGGTTCCGGCCATGCCACCTCCCACGATGGTGAAGAAGAGAAGAAGTCCATAAGACTTGGCGTTAATCCAGATAGCAAAGACGAGAATTGCAGCCAGCCAAGTTGTCCCGCAGGCCATGTTGATACGCCCTGTGCGGTCACTGAAATACCCGATGAAAGGACGGCCGGCAGCCTGACCCAGATTGAAGATGGCGCTGACCATGGCTGCTTGAGAGGCATTGAGGCCAATGAAGTTGGCATAGTTTGCCAGACTGAAGATGAGAACCACATATCCCAACATGCTGAACCACCCATAACCAAGAAGCAGGATAAACTCAGCACGTTTGAGGAGTCCCAGGTCGAAGGGTGCTTGACGAGAGCCAATGATCTTGTTACGATCCTTGACTAGGATAGTGCAGATGATATTGACGACGAAGACAATAATTCCGAGTATCCTGTACGCCCATGCAAGACTGATGTTCCGGATAATGGCTCCAGCTGCCAAGGAGTATAACAAACCGCCGAGACCCGAACCAGCTGCACTGATACCGTTTGCGAGAGACCGACGAGTTGTGAACCACTGGGGAACGATACCAACGCTGGGAACAAATAGGAGGCCCATTCCTAGACCAAAGCAAACGCCCTGTGTGAGGAAGAGTTGGTATATCTTGGTCGCAAAGCTAGCGCATATCAAGCTAGCGGTTTCCAATACGATACCGGCGAAGAGAGTAGGTTTTGTGCCGAATTCGCGGACGCAGAGTGTAGCAAGGGGCGAGACAAGCATAGCACAAGCAATACTCAATGATCCGACAAAGGCGTAGTGAAGAGATGTTGCTCCGGGGAATGTGTTGTTGGCGATGAAATGGGCCAGAAAGACTCCGTAACTCGAGTTGAGACCCCATGTATGGGCGTTGATAGTCGCAACACAGGCACAGCAAACCCATCCATAGCCTCCATTGGGTGGCGGAGGCGGCACATCTGTCCTCGGGGGAAACATATCACCATTGTCCTTCTCCTGGCTCGAAGATTGCCGTTGGACTTCTTGGGCTGGAGTGATGACATCGCCTTCTTCAGTAGTGGTGGTGTCGAGACTCCTCCGAGCCGAACCCGTCTCCGGCTCCGGCTCCGGGGACCGGGAGGTCTTTTTCTCGTCGTTGTCTCCCATTGTTTACGGGAATTGGGAGGAAAGACGAAATGGAAAAGATGGAGGAGGAGTCATGATTTTATTTAGTAAAAAAAAATGGACAAAAAGGGATCAAGTGCTTCTTAACTATGACCCCGGCTTAGAGGGACCTCTAGGGCATCTCCGACGACCGGAAATGGCGTCCGGGGATAAGACGGGTCCAGTTTTGATGCGTCTTGGCTTCGGTTGGCGGCGCAGAACCACGCGGGGCGTAAGCCATCGCTGTATGTCTCTCGCTAGGGTCTTGTTGTGCTGACAAAATTGTAATTGGATGATATATGTTACAAACAGAGCCAAGATCCAATGACTCTGTCTGTCTACTCACTGCACCAAGACGAGTCTCCCTTTGGCTTCCGTATACAGGCAATAGACGGCCATAACAATAAGACAGACACAGGGGAATAAGATTTCGACCTGGGGACAAAGCGGGGGAACTTTCCAATCCAATCTCAGCCGATCTGATCGGCTATTACCCGCATTTACTCGCTCCCACTTCCGCCCGCCTTTTCCCTTCTTGTTGCTCTCCTTGTGACCTTTCGTGGGGTAATGCACATACATTATTTGACACCAAGGCCCGGCATTTCATGTTGGTGAATAGCAAGTGTCGTCTTTTCTGCTTATAAATGCTACATGGTTTGTCATAATATGTGTCAAAACAAGGCGCCAAGCTTCAGCGCTGCTTGTCTAATATGCCGAGGTCTATGGCGTTGCCCCTCCCGGACTATTCGGTGGTAATAACGCATTGCGCTTGAACTACGGGTACGGGACAGGAGCATCTTCCTCCTTTCGAATCTTGGTGTGAACAAGCATCACCGAGTCTCCCCCAGCTAACCTACACCACTCCCCATATGTGACCGAATACTTACTGTTCCTGGATGATACACTGCTTGCGAACAATTTTATTCTCGTTCAAATGGACCGAACATACCAAAACTATGAGTAAAGTCAATGAACGGGCTAGTGACAACATAATTTCCCAACTTGGCATCAGCTTAATGGCTGGTTCGACATATAAAAACAAGCCATCCACAAGATGATGAACTGAGAGTCCCCCGTGAACACGGCTTTTCGACTGTTGTTGAGAATAAACGGACGGATCACAGTTGCAAAAAGGCTTGTTCCAACCCGAACAGTTGTCTAACACGTAATAAGGTCTTGTTGTGAACAATTCGATTGCAAGATATATATTACACAGCCTCACCAAGCTCTGAAACGAGCCTATCTCCTCATTCAGCACGGATTCTTTAATCAAGAACAGCCTAATCCACTCCTTCGGTTCGAAAAAGAGAAGAAACAACTTGCGCCTCTCATAATGGGTTTCAGGCTCCAAGCTGCCGATCCAGGGGCGATTGTATCAATTGTCATTTTAGCCATCATCATCGCTATCCGTATAAGCGGATTTGCGATTTTACAGTACGGTCGGTGGAAGTACTGGTATATAGACGGACGTTTCAACGGGTCAAAGGCAGTTTCGGTTATCTTGACCATCCACGACTCGAATGATCCGAATCTGGTTGATTATGTTCGCAGTATTCTGAAAAACAAGCCCGAGTGTCTCCTGATTACAACTAACAACAGAAAGGCTCAGCACCGGGTAGACGGCAAGTTGAAAGGGTTGAGATTCGCGTTCTCTGATACGAAGATTCGTGTTGGTACTGTCAACGAGCCGAATAGACGTCGCGAGATTGCCCATGCTTTGGACTCGGTTGACACTCCGTTTGTGGTTCTCACTGATCAGGGAGTTCATTGGGGTGAGGGGTTCCTCAAGTCGGTAATAATCCCCTTTGCAAATCATCGTGTTGGCTGCGTTACTGTTCCGATGATGGCAAGGAAGCGAGATGGGATCTGGGGGTCATTCTGGACATGCCTCTTCTCCTGTTACTACTGTCTTGTAACGGAGAGGAACAGGGCACTTAATGCTTTCGATTCCTCAGTGGTTTTCACAGGCTCGCCTATCATGTTCCGCACCAAGTTGGTTGCCCAGCCGAGATTCAAACAGCAGTTCGAGGTCGATCCGTGCTTGAACCGACGACATGGTGTCCATAAAGCAGATGAGTATCTATTCTTCAACCGGTACTTTCTTCAAGAAGAGGGTCCACATGAGGAACCTTGTCTTGTTGTGTTTCAAGACATGCCAGAAGTCATGGTTTCAGTAGATCGACCGTCTATTGCCGGTTTCCTCAGCGAGTATCTTCAAATGACTAGGAATCTCTGGCGTCTTAGTCGTGTGATGATACGTCGCAAGGAGCGCAGTCAGTATCCCTGTGCCTTTTTACTGACGCATCTTGTCATTTCCTCTTACGTACGAGATTCTCTTCTTTCTTCTCGTACACTTCACGATCCCTCTTGGCGACGACGAGTGGGCGGTTTGGTACATATTCGAATATTCAATTTTCTTCTTCCTGGTGGTTGTGGGGTTCCGAATAGTCAGACGTTTCGCTGCAGGCGATGACTACGGCTTTGGAGGGACACTTATCATGGCTGTTTTGGTAGGTTGCCCAGCCTACTATTTCCTTGGGATCCTCAAGCTTGTGGAATTGGCCACCGCATGGAAGGCTGATGTTGAACTGATAAGTGAAGAAGAAGTCAAAGTGCGAAAGGGCGACCTCGAAGCTGTACGGTATCACGAGGCTCGAGCGGACATTGAAGAACCGCCGTGGATTTCGGAGTGCATGGAGTTGGAGAGACCCCAGGGCGAGCTTCGACCACTGCCGGATTTCCCACTCTATGTTATTGCGGAATAGGTTATTCGAAGCCTAGGTAAGTCATGACAAGTGCTCTCGTGTCCAGCTGCGGCATTGGGATGGGACGTGACAGTCCATGCCCTCCTATCGAGAACTAACTTAGGTAGTGCAGTGGGAGTCAGAAAATTGAATTCAAACTTGGCTGAAATGAAATTAAAATGTAAGTGTTTTTTTTCTGTGCTAATAAAGAGTTATATTCGAAGCACTTTAGGCTTTGACTTCAGTAACTTGCTCACTTCAATCCTCGTCGACAAAAAAAGCTGTGAGTATAAGAACGAACAAGTATGAATGTAATAGGATCTGTCTTTGAATTTGTGATAAACACGATGTTTGTGTTCTGTCTCCCGGTGTCACTCAAGGTCGGATGGTAGTCTACACGATTGCTTCAACTTGGGAACGCCCCGCCCACGCAGTCAATCAGCCCCATCAAGTGGAGCTTAGATAGAGTGGCAAATTTAGAAAGAGAGTCAAGATCTAGATCTCCCGAGAACATGTCTTCAGAATCAGTCTGGGGAATGTCTGTGGGGATACCCTCATGGGCCCGTCTGTGCTTGCATATGGGGATGAAATCCCAGCTATAGGAAGAGTGGTGTGATTGCGGAACCGAAGTGACTGGTGTTTTATTGAAATCGGAAGTCAATTCTCAGATTCTGGGGTTCCCCAGTCTGTAGATTCAGACAGCGATGTTGTGTAATATTGGGAGTGTAATGGAAGTACTTAGCCTATTCAATGACGGTGTTCCAGCCATATAGTAGTTTTTCTGATCATTCGTTAGCCGTATTTCAACAGCCTATTTATTCCTTTCTCTAGTACGCCTTCTACAGGAGGTTTATAGAGTCTTTTAGGCATCATACAATCTGAGAATTTCCCCCCTGTGAGACATCCAGCGGGCCACCTTATCACCGATTATAATGCCGTACGGAACTTTTTATTCAACAGTTCTTCAGATATTTGATGGTATTCATAAGCTATATGCTTCAGACCTGTACCGGGCGAAAGATTCCCATGTGGCGACACTTTACCGTCAACACCAGGCAAAGGCTTGGGCTACGGCACAAAGAGACTCATCAAGCTATTATATGGGGAGAGCTGCCTGATCGAAAGTATGATGGGTCCAACTGCATTTCATAACACTTTGTGGCGATGTAAACATTTCACAGAAAAATTCATGAGTGATCTGTGTCTGTGTTGAACATCGAATGGGGTTTACGCTCTGTATTGTGAGGTCTCACTCAACAAAGTAACACTATCCATACAACAGCACTTATATTACAACATCAAGGAGTTGGCGAAGAGGTAGGTTTCTTCGCTTGTGCCTCGCGCTCGCGAGTTTGGTCTCGTCCGAGCCTCCCGGACAACCTCCTATCGCTTTGACAGAGGCATCTTTTACCGACTTCAGGGGAAACAGAACCGAGGTTATGCTGACCAGATAATGACTGTAATATTCAACATCTTCGAGTTACGTTGCATCATGAGAGTAAAGATTCTCAATAAGTATCACAAACTGCCATTCGGAGGAAAGGAACTTGCTCAAAAGGGGGGAAAAACTCTTTCATCTCGAGTCATTCTCCATCGTGGAGTACAACACAGCCGAGGACAACTAACATACGACACATGGTTTGTTCAAGTATCCATTCAGTGAATATCTGCCTGGCGTTCAAAGCTCAGGGGTAGCAGTTGCAGTGGAAACACAGAGGGATATTTAGCACCAATGATCACCAACATTCAGCCTCTCGCTCAGGAGGGCATTGGCGCATGCGACCCTCACATTGGACACGGATATTGGAATCCGATATGCGCTCAAGTGACTGTAACAAACCATGACATGACCGGCCGTAGTTGCCGTTCAAGACCCTTTTGATGAGCGGCAGCAGATCAGATCCTTGTCTCGCTAGCTTGGCCTCTCGCGGCTCTTGAGGTCTTGGCTGGCGTAAATGTGGCCTGTGCGTGTTTGTGTCAGAGGTTGATGAGCAATGAGAGCCAGGGGTTCTGAGACGGGAATAGTTGACTGGTTGTGTTTGTCTGTGTTTTGCAGCAAGGTCTTCATTCTGGGTTTGCACTTCGGATCCGCAATCTGTATTTGTCTAATAAAGGGTAGCAATGGTGACACTTCAGGCCAACAAAGAGGCTTCGGTGGCTCGGACAGAGCGACAAAGATGATATTTCCGCAGGCGGAATTTGAAGGTGGGGAGACAAGGCAAAGGCAGTGGGAGAGAGACAGACAGCGGATCCTCACTCATACGATCAAGGATGACAGTGGGACCCGTCAGGTTATGATGATGATGAGGGGGCAGGTGGGTCGCAAAATAATACGCACACACAAGAAGGCTGACAGAAATGTATTGTGGAATTAAATGCTAGCTGTGACCTGCTTATTTATGTCAGTAACTCTGTCTTACTATGGTGAGAGAGCTTTGGTGTGCGGATTATTTTGAGACCCACCTGGGGGGGCAAATTTTGGAGACTGTTTCTTTTTCTCCATTCTTCATCGGTGATGATTCTGCGGTGAAGACAAAGCGAGATTGGAGTGATCGTCTACATAAAATGAGAATATGTAGGGAGAGGCTGGTGATAAACGCATCGATGATACGGGGATAAGAGGAGACTGCTACACTTATCATGAGAACAAACAATTGGAGGAGGTTCACGTTCAGTAGCCGTGGCGTCATCGCTTTCAGTTCCTGCACTGCACCACACTCAGTCCCCTGAAGTGGAGGACGCCACTTGACCAGGAAGATCCCTGCACCTAATTGCTTCTGGAAAAACTGCCTGAAGGTCTCCTCTCTCTCTCCTTTGCTGCAGAAAGAGGCGTCAACTGAGTCATAGATTCTTCAAAAACGGTACATGTCAGCATATCGCGACTCATAATACTTATTCTCAGTGCCAAACCCTCACACTCTCTCCTCTCACTCAGTCATACAGTAACCGAACGTCACTTCGGTTACTCCAAAAGAGCCGCCCAGTCAAACCCTGCAACAAGCGGAAGCGCTATCAGTACCCTTGAACAAAAAAAAAAACAGGAAGCTCAAAAAACAATGGATTTTAATTTGGGCGCATCGATCATTCGATGTAATAACAGTATCCGTCTTGTAGCCGACTGACAACCGAGGATAAAGTACAAGCTAATTTTCCTCATTAACCAGACATTCCCCTCCGAGGAATTAGACTCTGAGAGTAAACGGCCCTTTTCCTCGTCTTCTCTCGTGTTCCTGTTGAGAATGTTGTGTTCTTTTATCGGAGGATGAGCCGTTGAGAGACGACTGCCGACGATGTTTAGCTTGGCTGGGCTGGGCACGCTTTACTAAGATTGGGGGTGCATTCTGCTGTGTGCAAGCCATGCAGATGAGTTTTGTAGTTGGGGTCTGGCAGCTGAATTGAGTTGGAGTAGGGCGAGAGGACAGAAGGCTTTTTCACGATGCATCGGGTCTTGGCTCATTATCTCGCTATTCCCGCCTGATCTCTCTCTTCTCCAAATTCCTTTCGCTGAGGAGAACCCTACCACTTCCTCGCTCGGGCCCTTTTCTTTTTGGAGAACAACTTTAGACTTGGCAGTTGTCATAACGAAACGCTGCTGTATCCGTTTCTATGTCACGGTGATTTCATGATCGTAGTTCTCACTCTTGGCTCTTTGTTCATTCGAGCCAACGCTTTCTCTACAGCTGCACAACTACACAATGATCACCGACTCTACTCTTCAAACGAAGTGTCCCTCTGCATAACCGAGGACTGCACCGTGTTCTATGTGAATCAACGGAACGGATAAGTCGGCGTCAGATAAAATGGGTCTTTTGCCTCTCTTTCGCAATATCAGTGACGAAAGTGATGCTGCTCAGGCCCACCTTCGGCCATCGTCCAGAGGTTCTCTCCTCGTTCTTTATCTCGTCCAGATTCTGGGGAAATAAATCGGGATCTTGGACCCCAGAGTCTGCCCCAGATTGTTTAATTCAAGTTTAAATCTCCAGGTTTTGTTGGTGGTTTTGCTATCTTTTTCATGGTTCAAGATTTTTGGGCTGCAAGTTGGTGATGTTGTCATGGGCGTGCACCAACCTGATCAACTCACGCCCCTGCTAGATTTCTCCAATTCTTAGTGAGCGTACCCCCTCACATCATCCCACGGTCTTGGCTTTTTTCCTCTGCTCTCTGTTGCATCTCGGCCGCAGCCGTCGGAGGGGAAAAAAACACATCAGCCTCCTTGTGTGTGTGTGTGTGTGTGCCCCTGTCACTAATAGGCGTCAACATTGCCGACCCTCCCACTTGAACAAGACTTTGCATCATGGTCTCCCAACTAAATTCTTTAGTAAAATCACCACGTGCTCTGAAATGCTAATTTCTTGGAAAATATGGACCTTGCAGTGAGATCTTTGCTGCTTTGTAAGGCAGATCACCACTGTTATGTGGGCGCTAGGTGGACAATCTGCGTGGTTCTCCACGTTTTGACCGTGAGGCGGCGACTTTGTTGATCGCCCTGACTTTTGAGCGTAAAGAGCTTTGGGTTTTTACTCTAATATTGAGGTTGTTTCTATGAGATTGGGGTTTCGAGATATATGAGTTGTGGAGAAGAGCTTCCGATTATAATGGCTGGTGCTTTAATTGTCTACAAGACGGTTTGCAGTCAAGACTTCAATCGATGTTTGCTCTCAACAAACTTTGCGAACAACTAGTATTAACATTGAAGCCTGGCTGGTTTCTTAGTCCATGGCATTTATGAAGAGATGTACACCTACATGTAATCGTGTATAGCTCAGGCCAGCGAGTTCACGATCTTGATGATTGATCGACTGATGATTTTCAGCTTCAAATCCATCCACGCGATCTTCCTTAACATCTACCGACATCAACTCCCGAACTTCTCTTCTTACCTGCAATCTTTAGTCAAATGTATCTCTCTCATAAATCATCTTCTCCGCAAAGTTGAGGGATAACCCCAGCACCACCGGATCTCAGATGTATGTACCTTATGCTAGGGCCAACATGCTGCATATCATGCTCTGTAATCGGCAATACGCGCCTGTTCACACGCTGAAACGTCTGGAAGTCAAAGACCGACGGCATCTTTTCCCGGTTATTCTTTGGCCGTGCGAGTAGATCATTCAGTTTTCTCCTCATGTCTTCCCCACAATGTGATTGTGTTCCCCACGGGTTGTCATGTTCTCCGGATTGTTGGGGTTTGGGTTTGGGTGTTTTTGATGATAATGAGGGTCCTTTGTTTGTACGGAGAGCCAATTAGAACACTCAAGGGGGCAGTTCTACTTTGCTTGTGGTTTTGTTTAGACCTTACCGGAAATATATGTTTTTGTTGTCAGGAGAGGAAGAGATCATGAGGTGGACAATCCGGGCCGTTGTGCCTTGCCATGTCACCCTCACGGACTTGCAGTCACCACGACGATAATAGATATGTTTAGATTAAACATTGATTGTCTATCTACAGCAACGTAACTGAACACAATCGTCATTGTTTGCCCAATTGATACACTTGATGCCCCCCCAAATCTGCAGCTGTTGTTGATCTTGCACCCCCATTCTAGACCCTTTGGACCCCGGTCAGAGAGGAGAGAGCATTTTCTTTCTCCACGCCCACGCCCACGCCCTCGCCCTAGTCGTCGGGGCACTCCACCGTCACTCCACCTACGTACCCATATCACTCCACAGCACCCGACGTTCTCTACAGTACCTACAGTACGTCCCCGTCTCTAGAACCTAATTTGATATCCATTCTCTCTCTCTCTTCAATTCCCGTGTTGAGTTTCTTGCCCTGGTCGAACTAGTCCGTCCTGCTTTATAAATCTGTCTTGTCTCCCGTTGCCACTTTCGATCTCATTGTTTTTCTTGCTATTCAATCTCACGCTTGCTTGGTCCCTTAGATCGATACATCACTTATAGAACATCACTTGGACTTCAGTAGTCTGCATCAACACTCTTCACACAATGGCTCAACCAATGCCCGATTACCAACAACAATTCTCCAACGAGTCTCCTCATGACTCTGACAAGACTCTGGAGCGTCAGACAACCGCTGCCCATCAACAAGCTCATCCTCATCTCTATGCCCACCCCTCAAATATCCATCCTGCTTTCGGTGGTGCCCTGCAACCAGGTCTCTGGAAGCCTGTTGAGCACCGCAAGTTCGCCAACCCAGCTCCTCTAGGACTATGCGCTTTCGCTCTTACAACCTTTGTCCTATCATGCATCAACATGCACGTCCGTGGTGAATCTTCACCTGCTATTGCTATCCCCGTAGCCTTTGGATATGGCGGTCTTGTTCAGCTTTGCGCTGGCATGTGGTATGTTATACTTTACACTCAACTTATACACCTTGTCTAACATTTACCTAGGGAAATGGCTGTTGGAAACACATTCGGTGCTACCGCCCTATCATCATATGGAGGCTTCTGGATCGCCTACGGTCTTCTCTTGACACCAACATGGAACGTCCTCGGCGCCGATGGTCCTTACGAGGGTGATACTGGTTCCGTCATGGGCTTCTTCCTTACTGGCTGGTGGATCTTCACAACACTTCTCCTCATCTGCACGCTCAAGTCCACCCTCGCCTTCTTCTCTCTCTTCTTCTTCCTCGACATCTGTTTCCTCTTGCTTGCATGCGAGAACTATGCTCACGACTTGGGCAACCACAGTGCTCAGCTTGCTCTTCAAAAGGCAGCTGGATTCTTTGGTTTCTTGGCCGCATTCATGGCTTGGTACAATGCCCTCGCCGGTCTCCAAGACAGCAGGTATGTTTAACCACCTCGCCCTACAAAAGTATACATCGCTAACAAGTCATCAGCAACTCCTTCTTCCAGGTTCCCGTCATCCACTTCCCCTGGTCCGATGAGGGTCGGGCACACCGTCACCACAAGGCCGAGCAAAACCTTGCTTAGACGTGCATCGATGAAGTTTTGTTGCATTTCACGCGTTACGACTTGGATTCTTACAAAATAGGGTGTATGCATTCCCAATTCCGGCGAACATATGTTTTGAGTCCGCTGCATTGAAGGAGTTTTAGAAGGTAATTCGCTGTACCGGCCAGCGATCGTTGGCTTTTGCGTTTACAGCCGCCGCTGAAGCATCGCGGCTCATTAGATGGTGTTTATCATGTCATATAATAAGCTTGGTACTGTACATATGGAAAAACGAGGAACCTCATGATTAAAGTCTCAAAGTTGATTGAGTGCACCTGTGATCGATTCACTGACGCTGTAATATTCTGTGGAGTGGATGAAAGCCAATGCCAGCTTTTCTGAACAATTTCTGGATGACCGACTATGCCTTATGAGGCACACTAGAATCTCGATCATGGTTACAATCGTCATTTGGATCATGGTTCCTGCAGGTTCATCGTGCAGGCCGATACTGGTGTTGACGCCAATGCCGAGCTCACGCCACTTGATGACAGCCACAAGTCACAATGGGGTACCACATTCATTTGAGACAGATCCTCCACCGATATATTTCTTTGTAGATCTTCTTAACGTGATGCGGAAAGTATAGTTTGTTGCCCGTTCCATCGATATTTCATCATCCCGTCATCCCGAAGGTGGGGCCGCCCAGCTCCGAAAAACCGGGACCGACCGATCAGTGCCACGGCCGATAATCGGGAAAAAGCAAGAGCAATTATCAATCTTGAATCTGCTAATCTCTAAACCTATTCACGTCTGCCGAGATCGTCGGCATATTACTCTCACATCATGCGTCGTAACATCTCTAAACCCCTTTTCCATTCTAGACCGGAGAAGCTTCATTCTCACGCATCGTACGATGTAACAGAATCACCTGATGGACCGTGAGCCACGACCACAACAGTCCACCATGGTCCAACACCTCACGCTGAGCAATCACAATCATCATTGCAGCTGCAACCAACTCACTCTGCTGTATCGTATAAATCGCCGATACCGCCCATGAGTGCCGCCCCCGCAATAATAACCTAATGCCTCGCATTCTTCGCTGGACCATGAGCAGGCCGCAGATCCTGTTCCTTTCATGCATTGGCTTCGCAGTCGCACTCACTGCTATGCTCTACGGAAACATCATTAAACCTTCGACTGTAACTTCTGTTTTCTCGAAGACCATGTCCACGCGTCCCGTCGTCGTCGTCGGCTCCGGCCTCGCTGGTTTATCAGCATCATATGAGGCTCTTCAGCGCGGGGCTCCATCGGTTCATCTCCTTGATCGAGCCCCTAAGCCTGGCGGTAACAGCATCAAGGCTTCATCTGGTATTAATGGTGCCGGCACCAAATACCAGCGCGCTGCTGGCGTGGAGAGCGATACCCTTTTCTACAGCGACTCTGTCAGATCGGCTGGGTCACGGTTCCATCTCACACAACCTCCTGTCGACCGCGAGGCTCTCATCACGAAACTCACTACTGAGTCAGCAGCCGCAGTCAACTGGCTCGTTGATGAGATCGGCGTAGATCTCAGCGTCGTGGCACCCCTTGGCGGCCACAGCGTTGCTCGCACTCACCGCGGCGCTGGAAAGACACCACCCGGAGCCGCCATCATCATCGCTTTGCTCAACAAACTCAAGGAGAACGGGAAGTTCTCTATTACCAACCTTGCTGAGGTCAAGACACTGCTTAAGGAGGGAAACACCGTCAAGGGCGTCGAGTACGAATTTGAAGGGAAGAAGCATAGCCTCGAGGGATCAGTCTTGTTCGCCAGTGGTGGGTTCGCTGGAGATGCCACAGGTCTTCTGGCGCGCTATCGCCCTGACCTCAAGGGTATCCCTTCGACGAACGAGGAGAGGCCGGGTTCTCACGATATTCTCACCGCTGTAGGAGCTGAGCTACTAGATATGGACAGCGTGCAAATTCATCCAACAGGCTTCGTTGATCCTGCGGCGCCCAACTCCATGCTCAAGTTTCTCGCGGCCGAGATGCTCCGTGGCGAAGGCGGTATTCTTCTTTCACCTGAGGGCTCTCGCTTCGTTAACGAGATGGATACTCGTGAGCATGTCAGCAACGCGATAATGAAGCTACCAACTGCCACCGATGGCGACGGTGTCATCAAGCAATGGGATATTACTATTCTTCTTGACCCTGGGGCTTCTGCTGCATCGGCTAACCACATTGGCTTCTATGAATGGAAGGGCCTTCTCAAGAAGGTCAAGGTGCGCGATCTCAAGCCCGCCCAGATCGCTGCTGTGGATGAATATGCCAAGGCTGTCGCTGAGGGCACAGACGATAAGTTCGGCCGTAAACAGAGGGGACGATGGACACTCAAGACCGGAGAGCAGAATCGTGATGAGGATATTTATATCGGCCGAGTAACGCCCATCACACATTTCACCATGGGAGGAGTCGCCATTGATGAGAAGGCCCGTGTATTGACGAAGAGTGAGGGCAAGCTTGTGCCTATCCCTGGCCTTTTTGCTGCAGGTGAGATTACAGGAGGTATTCATGGAGATAATCGCCTGGGAGGATCTTCTCTACTGGAATGTGTTGTGTATGGAAGGACGGCTGGTGCTGAGGTGGCTGGCTCGGCTCAGTGAGATGACCGCTGCTTTCCCTACTTATTCGACTCACAAATGTGAGGTGCGATTACATTTGAAGGTTAGTATAGGATAATGAAGTTGCTCTCCGTGTTGGAGCAATCCTAACGTGAATACTCCCATTGTGAACTGCGATATTGTGCATTTTCAGCATCTCGAGACTTGCAATCATCCAATGAGAGCCTAGAATTGGCTCAATGGTAGAACGCTGACCTATCATATGCCCTGCCGGGATTGTACGCAGGTAGTTGTCCACCAACAATGTCCCAACAGTCCTCACCGCACCAATTCCCATCTTCACTATATCGTATTACTGAACAGATTCTTAACCGAAAAGACACCATGGACATGTATGACGGCCAGGAAGAGGACGACAATCTTGTATGGGACAAGAACGATGAAACTGTTGAGGTGGCACAGCAGCAAATGCGATTGAAGACCTTCTGTCGCAAAGTTGAAGGGTTCGTCCAACAGAAGTTTGGCAGGCCAGCAATACTCATCTCACCACTGATGATGGGAGGGTTCATGTCCTTTACCGGGTACGAGTGGAGGATATGTCCCCAGATGTTATAGTACGACTGCCATGCCCGAGTCTCGTTCAGTTTCCTGTTGAGAAGACGATGTATGAGGCGGCCACTGCTTCTTTTCTAGTGAGGCAGACTCAATTACCAGTTCCAGGCCCTTTAGTTTTTGGAGAAGACTCAGAATTAGGGTCCTTCATCATCATGGAGCATTGGGAGAATAGTGGGAGCATATCAGGAAGGCTTACGAGGCCGAACAAAGACCTCTCAGTACCTCACGTCCTGGATCCAAACACACCCGAGTCAATTTTAGAGACAATCTGGGCAAAAGTAGCACGATGCTTGTTGGAACTGTCCCGGCTGACTTTTCCGAGGATCGGATCTTTACTTCACATTGGCAAGGATACGTACGAAGTGGCCGGTCGTCCAGCCACTGTTAACATGACAGAAATGATTCGACTCGCAAATATACCCAGATGCATTCTGCCATCCCAGGACAAGACGTATATGACGGCTGACGAGTGGTATACCACCTTGGCGGAAATGCATATCGCGCAACTCATCTTCCAGCAAAACGATCTTGTTACGTCTACAGAGGACTGTCGGAACAGGTACGTTGCGCGGCTGGTGTTCCGAAAATTAGCTATACAGGGCCGACTGTCAATTTTTGGGTTTGCTCAAGATACGTGGTCATCGCAGTCATCCAAAATACCCTCAGAAACACTGTCACCTTGTCCCTCCAATTCAGACTGTTTCAGGCTATGGGGCGATGACTTTCGAACAGGCAACATCCTTCTCAACGAGTCCGATGATATAGCTGCTCTTATTGACTGGGAGTATACATACGCTGGGCCTACACAATTCTTCCTCGATCCTCCATGGTGGCTTCTCCTCGAGACGGCAGAAATGTGGTCGCCAGATCTCGAGCACTGGAGACAAACCTACGAGTCTCGTTTACGCATTTGGCTTTCGGCGATAGAGAAAGCAGAAGCCAGCATGGGCGCATCAGCCTATAAAAATTTTGCAGTGCCACTATCCAGGTATATGCGCGAAAGTTGGCAAACGGGACGCTTCTTTCTAAGCTACGCGGCCCGCAAGAGCTGGGCATTTGATGCTATGTACTGGAACTTTCTAGATGAGAGGTTCTTTGGAGATCGAGATCCTGGCGTGGTGAAAGGCGATCTCTGGAAGACACGGATTGACTTGTTGAGTGATGATGAGAGGGCTGCCATGGAGCCCTTTGTGCAGAGGAAGATGGCTGGGGGCAAGGAAAGGCGTATCGTAGAATGGGATGAGACTGAGGCACAGAGGCGTTTTTCTGAGCTCCTGTTCAACTAGTTGACAGACACTACAAGTCCGGAGAGCTCACTGCTGGTAAAGGAACCGTCCCTCGGGTGCCAGAAGATTAAGACTTATGGCTGGGTTGAGACAATAAAAAGCATCCAAGTTCACATCTTGATATTGTCTGGGCTTTTCCAGGGCATCGCCTTGGGCGTTCATCCTAATTATCTTGCCCTGGGCATTCGACTTGACAGTGAATTTAATAGGGCTCGAGAGTGTAAACAGACGGGAAAGGGTTCCCATAAATAGCCTCCATTTACTACATCACAGATCAGCTGTCGCATGCTTCATTCAAGAAACTCTTCGTCGTAGCCGCAGCATTTAGATACAAAAATCCCTTGTATTCCATCAATCCAGCTTCAGAGGGTTCGCCTTGAAGAACTCTTCGGGGGTAACAAGCTTGCCTCTCGCCCTCTCAGCAGCCCAAGCAACTGACTTCTCTCCGTCAGCACCATAGTATCCAAACTCCTGACCAGCTTTAAAGGCTTGAACGTAAACATCTTCCAGAATGGGTAGCTTCTCAGCAAACTCTTCAGAGGAGATTTGCTTGTAAGTGATCTCTTTGCCGGTAACCTTGCTCTCAATAGCTACAAGCTCCTCTAGGCTGTAAAACCCAGCAGCGGCGTCAAAGCCTACGCCTTGGTACTTTTCAGGCTCGGCTAGAATTGCGCCGACGAAACTGCCGCAATTGCTACCGTTGTCGATCCATGGGATGCGAGTCTCGGGGGTGAATGGAAGAGAGACAACCCAGTTGCCATTCTCATCCTTCTGAGGAGCCCAGAGAGGAACTTGGATGATATTCTCGAGGAAGAATCCAAGACGGACAAAGGCGCTCTTAACGGGAAGTGTACGAATGTACTTTTCGCCCTCAGCCTTTGCATCGAAGGGATGATTGGCGGTGTACTTCCCACCAGAGACGTCTGTGGTGCTGGGAAGACTGCTAAAAATGATGTACTCAATGCTCGCTTCAACAGCTGCATCAGCCGTCTTCCTGATGACCTCGAACTCAGGCTTTAAATCGGTAGCAGTCCAAGCAGGAGTTGTCATGAAGAAGAGTGTGTGTGCCCCCTTCAGGGCAGCCTTGATGGAGGCAGGGTCGGCTAAGTCACCCTGTACAACTTCAACACCCCGCTCTTTGAGCTTTTTGGAGTTCTCAGAGTTGACATCGCGGGTGATGGCGCGGATCTTGTATTGCTTTGACAGCTCTGGATCGTTGAGGACGAAGTTTATGACAGCGCCGCCTTGTTTGCCAGTGGCGCCGATGACAGCGAGAGTTTTCGACATTTTGATATTTTGGTAATTGATGCTTAATTATGGTGAGTGCATAAACAGTGAGATTAAAAGTGATTGTGATGATGGAGTATAAGCTGGCACTTCAGTCGTCTTATATCTTGCCAACCCCTGAGATGCCGATCAATTGCACCACATTAAGCCAAAGTCCGCATGTTGCAAAAGCAATGACTACTATCCTATCAAAGTCCGCATCTTTATCCTCCGAAATTAAATCCTACAGAGTAAGCCTCCGGTCTTTGCCAAGTTTCCCGTTGGCAAAGACGCGAAAACAAGGGACCTCGGAATATCTACAGGGCTTAGCGCACTTGTCCAGTGACTAATCCCCCTCCTTACTTCGGCGCTAATAAATTCCTCCGAATAGCACTAAGCAATGCGGCTTCGCTGGAAAGATGCTCCGAGTCAATTAATCAGCCTCGAAGATCAAGAGAGACTCCAAATCAGGGGGCGAAAATAAGCTGATTAGAAAACTTAATTCAATAGGTCAGGTAACCTAAAACATTCAATAGTTTTGTAAATTCTACATAACTAATCTAAATTATCCTAAAGTTGGAAACACTTTTACTACTCAAGATAACGCAAATGGTTCATCATATATCTCAAGTCACCGACTTTTATTAATTCAAGCATGTCTGCATTCGTGGTTGAGCAATATTTCCCACCAAAAACCAACATGAGTATCAGGGTAGTTGAATGCCCAATCAAACTTTTCTTTCCCAAAAACTCCCATCATGAATCCTGAATATGTCTACCGAGCTCAGCAAAGTCTCCAACATCCTCACCCGTAAGATCCCAGTCCGGGTTATTATACATCGAATAGCAATGCTTATAAAAGTCATCATGCGGGATATCCCCCATCATCATCTCATGCTGTGAACCCCCCTCTACAACTTCAGGCATAGGAACCCAGAGGTTAGAGAAGTTGTCCCATAGGTCTGTGTCGAGAGGCATAAAATCTTCTGGCGATGTTTGGCTTTGGTCCCCTGGGATGAGCTGGCCCCGGTGAAGGTCGCCGAAACCAGAGGGTGTTGCGCCGTTGGCTTGTGTGACACCGTTGGCGGTCTGGCCTTCGCCCGGTGGTCCCTGGGGAGATACGTTGACCACTTGTAGTGCCTCAATCTTCTGTGCCATTACTTTCCAAAGTCTCTTGACCTCTTGCAATCTCTCGCGAGCATAGGTGTTTCCATGGTCAGCAAGGTGCTGTATTTCTTCCAATGCCTGCGTCAAGCCGGGCTTGGGGTTAATTTTCATGCTCTCTTCACAGACTGAATCCAGGATCGCAGCGAGAATCATAATGAACGCAGCTGAGAAGGAGGCTTCGAAGTCGTAAAAGCCAAAGATTGCTTAAGTCGTGTTAGTAAACTAACACCAAAAGTCTAAGGTCAGCTTACCGATCATGTTGCGTTTTCTGAGCGTGGCAACAACCTTGAGCTGTCGCCTTGCAGCCTCAGCGCAAGTCCTCGATAGTCTTCCGAGAGGTGAAGCATGTAGCTGTTCTCCAGTGACACCATTTCCACTGAGAATTAGTTTCGCGGCATGTAGCATAAGTGGTCGAATCGTAAGAATGGTTGCCTATCCAATAGTCAGTCCAGCTATTCCTTCTCTCGACTAACTTGCTAACCTGGAAGAGCATCAGATGTAACGAAGCAGTCGTTCTCAAAGATTGGTCCCGACCCAAGTTGTACACATCTGTGACTGCATCTGAAGGGATTTCTTGGGAGATCTGGTATAAGGATTTGACGATATCTTGGACGTGAGGAATAAAGGTAGATTCTGACTCATCTTCGGGATTATAGAGCACTGATAAAGTGTCAGTTACAACGCAATAAATTTCCATAAATTCATGTGGACCTACCAGCCAAGATACGACCCGTTGCTCGGGCGATCCTGATGTTTGTGCACATGGGGCCAACAGGTGGGAAGCCAGGTGAATCAGTGGGAAGAGGGATGTTGATTGCCTCGTCACCGATGCTAGGAGGGTTGCCTGTCGCTGCAGCCAGGCGTCTAATTGCACATATTCATTAGCCATCGTTTCGGAAGTCCATGTTTTTGTTTCCTTACCGTTCTTGCATGTAAATAGTCCACCACAAACGGTTCATGTGAACTCTCTCAGACTGCATCAAGTGCCTTGTTCCACATACTCTGTGATATTTCTGTGATATTGCTAAGCGCATGGCGGTGCTGATCTAAAGGTAAAGTCAGCCATGGTTCCAGATTTAGCCATGAGACAACTTACATAGAGATATGCCTCTTCCTTACGATTCATGTTGCCGAGATAGATGGCAAAGAGAGCAAAGATCTCAATACCAAGTTTCCCATTGAATCGCAAGTCTGACAACGTCGGGACGTTTCTATGGGCATACTCAAAGAGTCTGACCCCAGAAAAGTCGTCATTCCCCTCGGGGTTAGCGTCGAACAGGGTTCCAATAGCAATCATAAGAATCATCTCGAGAACCCACAGAGACTCCATCTGAGCAGGATCATCACGGTTCTGGTAGAAAGCCCACATTTTATCAGAAAACTCACGAGCATCAATATGATGCTGCGACTGGCCTATATAGAACAGAGCTGTATCTAACAAGCGTTGAGCCTCGTCTCTTGGGGGCAACTTTGGAAAGTCACTGCTCGAGAGACGCCATGGATGGCTGATAACTTCGTGACGCAAGTTCGCTTCAGGACTGATCCAAGGTTTTGAAGTTGGCTCTGACTCGGGACGAGATGAGCCGAGTAAGTCTTGGACTCGGGAGCCAAAGGTATGACTAGAGCTGAGGGAAGAACCAGCAAGAATAGCTGAAATATAAGCATGTGGTCATAGGGCTTGGAGAGAAGTTGACTTACTTGCAGCTGGTGATGCTTGAGTGCCATCATAAGGAGGATATTTATGTTGAGCTAGGGGTGCGGAGAAACTTGTAGAAGGGCGGATGAAGCTTGACGATCTTGATCTAACATGCAGAGGGTCTTGAGGGGAGGAGTGAGATGTTTGTGGGTTAGAATTGGAGTCTCTCCTTTGGCCGTTCTGTGTAGCAGAAACTGGGGGTTCTAAGACTTATCAGTATAGGTCGAAAGATACCAGAAGAAGAGTAGGGCATACCAGATGCCCTAGGAGGTAGAGTCGAAGGCAGTCCGTCGTAACCATCTCTTTCATATCTAGCTAACTTGCTCTCGAGTTCCTCGATACGGCTAACAAGTGACAAACATCAGCTGTAAGTCCTAATTGGGTTACGAAAGAACTTACTTGGCCATATACATGCGCTTGTGTCCATGCTCAGGAACCCTGCAGTCTAGCCCACGCTTGGTGCAGTACTGACAAGGAGTAGTCCCCGAACACCGAACCTTTTTCTTCCTACATGTAAGACACCTACGAGGCTGTAAGTCACCAAAGCAAACAAAATAGTGGAGAACAGGATATCGACATACGCCAATGATGCTTTACGTGCATCTTTTCCCCCATCGGAGGGCGCCGGACGCTTCCGAGCCATCGAGGCAGTCGAGTCGTCGGCCACGGGGGTCATTGAGAGGTTCTAGAAACGAGATGATCTGACTCTAGAGATAAGAATCTTATGGAAGACTTGACCGAGAGTCTGGGACTGAATGGGCTGAAAGTCCGAGGACGCGGGGACTTGAGCGTTGTTATTCTCTCGGGATGGTTCCGGACTTTGAGTGTAAAACTTCTCCACACGATGATCCGATCACGTGAGTGACCAAAC